CCGCAAGTAGCAGTAAGCATCAACGCAACTATCATACGGGTGGCGCCCCCTCACAACACACCCACATGACTCCTATCGATTTTGGTAACAAAGTTTTTATTGTTGTTATATAAAAAATATCACCAACGTATCATAGTAGCATACTACTAAGACGCCAATGAACAAAACTCCACGTATCATAGCGCTAATGCACTAAGACATGAAGTTGAGTATGCCTGTTACACTTAAAAGTGCTACCAAACACACTCATCATCCCAATCCGAAAGATAGACGACACATCGCTATGCGCAACGACGTCGCCCACAAACGGTATGGGTGTGCGATGTCCACGGGAAAGCCGTATTGCTACAACAAACCCGCTTACCACCAGCACTAAGATGTTAATTGTATACCTCCATCGACCAGAACCACAAGAATGCGTCGAATCAGGCGCAGCACACCCGCAGATCCATCACAAGACGCAATACCGCAAGTAGCAGTAAGCATCAACGCAACTATCATACGGGTGGCGCCCCCTCACAACACACCCACATGACTCCTATCGATTTCGGTAACAAAGTTTTTATTGTTGTTATATAAAAAATATCACCAACGTATCATAGTAGCATACTACTAAGACGCCAGTGGACAAAACTCCATGTATCATAGCGCTAATGCACTAAGACATGAAGTTGAGTATGCCTGTTACACTTAAAAGTGCTACCAAACACACTCATCTTCCCAATCCGAAAGATAGACGACGCATCGCTATGCGCTACGACGCCGCCCACAACCGGTATGGGTGTGCGATGTCCACGGGAAAGCCGTATTGCTACAACAAACCCGCTTACCACCGGCACTAAGATGATATGTCTAGGACACATCGGTTAGCGAGTCCAAGTTTACCTCGGACCAATTGCTCGTGAAGCAGCACACACGCCACCACAATATTCCTTTTCAAGTCCCTAATAAGGACTAGTCATTTTGCTACAGTACTAGGAGCAGTCAGTCACCCGACCACCCCATACAATGCTTATGCATCAAGGAGACCTCCTATAATATTGCTTTTGTATCATAGACCTTACTTTCATAAGTCATGTATATATAGGATTCGAACCCACGACCCTACTATTGTAATGCATATTAATCATAGAGACCTTCTATAGTATTGCTTTTATATCATAGACCTTACTTTCATAAGTCATTCATATATAGGATTCGAACCCACGACCCTACTATTGTAATGCATATTATTCATAGAGACCTTCTATAGTATTGCTTTTGGATCATAGACCTTACTTTCATAAGTCATTCATATATAGGATTCGAACCCACGACCCTACTATTGTAATGCATTTAAATCATAGAGACCTTCTATAGTATTGCTTTTGGATCATAGACCTTACTTTCATAAGTCATTAATATATAGGGTTCGAACCCACGACCCTACTATTGTAATGCAAATTCATCATGGAGACCTTCTTTAGTATTGCTTTTGTATCATTGAGTTTAATATCATAAGTCCCTAATATAGGACTAGTCATTGTGCTACAGTACTTCAGGCAGTCGGGCTCCCGACCACCCCATATATATGTACAACTGCAGGTATGTACCTCCGACAGCTTCCTCCATACAAGACATCTATACGTGAACACCTTCCATAACTTAGGAAAATTTTCTTTAATACATGAACTCCTTCAACAACTTAGGAAATTTCATCTATACGTGAACTCCTTCCACAACTTAGAAAAAATTTCTTTTATACACGAACACCTCCCATGACTTAAACAATTTTTAACAAATTTTCTAATTATCTTATAATCGTTATTTAACTTAATTTTATAATATTTTTTGACTTGTATTTCTATTATTTATCTTATTTTAAATATTTTTTTCAAGTTTTTAAATAAATTTATTTATTACGAAAAACAATAATTTTAATTTACTTTAATTTACTATGTTAATGGGATAATGTCTGAAATATATTAACTTTATGTTTATTAATTTAACTTAATTGCTTAATATATATCTTTTAAGACTATATTTGACGCCCCTTTATATTGAATTTAATTATTAATAATAATATTGGGCCGTCACAATATGCAGAAGAAACAGCGTTGGTGATAGCATGCAGCCTTGTGGAATACCAGCGTTAATAAGTTTGTAATCAGAGCATGCACCGTCGACTACGAACTTGATGCTCCGATTAACAAGGAAAATAGTGATCTAATGGCACAATTTCTCGGGAAGTCCATAGGAAGGGAGCTTCAAAAGAAGCGCTTTTGTGCCAGATCGATCGAAAGCCTTCGCTATGTCCAAACTAACAGCCAGTGCCTTCCTAATCAGCTGGTGATCCTCAAGGTACCTCATGAGCTAGCAGTTTACAGTGGACTCCATTATTTTGGAAAACAAGGAGGTGACGGCGATAGGCCTGTAGTTGGACGGGTCTGAGTGGTCGCCCTTTTTAAGGATCGGGTGGACCAAAGCTGTCTTCCATGAATTCGGCACTACGCCTTGGGAGTAGGAGTACCGGAAAAGACGCGTTAAAACCGGTGCCAACTCCGAACACACGTCTTAAGCACAATGGGAGTAATTCCATCAGGCCCAATCGACTTGCTGACGTCCATGAAGAAGAGTGCTTAACGAACCGTGCGCTGTGTAAACCGCACCTCCGGCATGGAGCACTCACACCGCGGGATGGTCGGCTGTGTGTTCCCCCCGTAATTGTTATTTGTCACAATATACAAGACGTATATGACTATAATGTGTTTTATTACACCTTCAATTACATTTCATTTGCAATTATCAACAATATTTAGTTTTTCTGCTGCGTGTCAATTTATGTATCAGTAAATAGGTAATAAAAAGGCACCTAAATGTAAACTAATAAGTAAAGTCACTTCATCCTCGTCATCATCATCATCATAACCCATCACAAGTCCACTCCTAAACATAGGCCTCCACAGGGAACACCACAAAGCGCAGTCCTGAATCACCTGTCTCATCTCTCACCAGGTCGTCGCTCCATTTAATGTGGGCCATTTAACATTAAGTCAGATTAACTATATTTAAATTATTATAAACTATTCATATGTGCAAAATTATGCAATTAGAGGTGATACCAGTCAAAAACACTCATGTAGAAAAACGTGTTTTCGAAACTTGAAAAACTTCTTGTTGTTCGAGGATGAAATTTTTGGGAAGTGTCGTCAATCATAAGCCTACATGTTTTGATTTTGAACCAAAGTTTTTATCTTTATTTATAGTTGTTATCAGAAAGACACTGCTATTTGATTTTTTATTGCCACATTTTCTATGTCCACAGGATGATATCATATAAAAAGCGTAAGCTAATATTTTACACTCGTATTCTGTGAGAGCGTGGTTCTTCCCCGGTCGAGCCGAGCCATTCGTGCTACAACTATACTACTAATATAACTTCAGCATGGCCCTACCGCGTATACACGCTTAAATCACAAGAAGTATAATTTGCAGTTTTAGGTACCTGCTGACTGTAGATTAATTAGTAGAATAACATCAATAGTGTGTAAACACAGAATAAAGAGTAATTAATATTCAAGGTTAACTAAACTTTGATATGGAAATACTGTATGATCTTTTTTACCGTCTGAAAAAATAGGGTGTAACATGTGAACAGAGTAGAAGCCTATGGCACTGATATTTAAAAAAATAAATAAAAACAAAAACTTTGAATTAAACGTTTAAAAAAAGCTTTTTGAATAATTACTTTGTCCTTTGCCCTTGAGCCTGTGACCCTGCTAAATAACAAGGTCAAAGATGCCAACTAAATTTATTGTTTTATTGCCGTTCGTAAAATAGGGTGGATATGATTTGAATTTCGATAGATTTTAATTAATTTATTTATTTAATTCAAACTTTTTTGTTTTTATTTTTTTTAAAAGATCATCCAGTACATTTTATTACCTACGTATATACAATACGACAGTTGTCGATTGGTGGATTCGAACTCAAAAGTTTTGAGTTGTATTGCATGCCCTAAATATTAGGCTTCTGTTTGTTGAATAACAAATGGAAATTTACAGTAAATGAACAGATCCTTATATTGAAGAAAAAACTATCGTGAAACCTTATTTTATATTATGTAAACGACTTTAAATGTGCTTACGAAAATTAAAAATAATAAGAAACACTCTCTAAGCGCTATAAATATTAATTGACCGTGAAGTAGCGGTATAAGAATATCCACTACTTCATATCATCCCTTGGGTGTGGTATGAGGTGACAAAGGGAAGACAGGAGATAGGCACATCATCTTCCTAATAATAACTAATAATAAAAAAACTGAGGTTGTCAACCTGCCTTTTAAGCGTGGCAACTATAGCAAATTTCCCTCATATGAGGCAATCTAAGGGGGGGGGCGTATGTTCAGCAATGAACTTTAATAGGCTGTAACGGTAACGGTAACTGTAGGCCCTATTGTTTTTTTTCTTGAAGACTAAACCCCTCATTAAAAATGTTAAAGAAGTTGACACGTGGTTTGTTGCCCCTTCTTCTATAAAAAAAAACGTGCAGCGATGCTAACAAGTAAAGTACGTAAGTATATTTGTATTACCCACTGATATAAAAAATCGGTCGTTTAATGGTGACATTTTTGACACTATTAAATTACTGTGGTCAATATTTAGATTTCCTCTTCTTCGGTTCATACTATAAGACCTACTTTCGTAAACATTTTTGATGTGAATACGTCTTTAAATTTGCTTCCATGATGAGAGGCAATACGGAAAACGAATGATAACAAAATCGGAGATACAGTTTGGTGCTGTAGCTACATATCTATCATCATTCAAAACTTATTTACACCACTCGATATTTAAAGGCTCAAAGAATTCGTTACGTGAGGCCACAACATATAGCTTAGTAGTACGCCTGCCGCGCGTGTTGAGGATAAGCGAATCTAAAGATGTTATGTATTGATGTTGCAGTAAACTTTCCTGGTTCGGTTAAAATCTAACTGCATTTTCTCTCTTTACAGAATAATGATTCCTGTAAGAAAAATTATATTAGTTATATTATTAACGGCGCTAACAATATGTCAAGGAAATGAAAACTGGCTTGAAAATTTGTTTGAAGTATCCAACGCAGAAAAGAGGAGCATGTCCGACGTCATAGTCGACTTTCTAGATTACGTATTCCCCAAAGACGATTCTGAATCATCGATAATGAAAGAGATTTTCACAATGTTCGCAGAAGACGGCCCACCTGGAATACAAAGTGGATTGGCGGCGTTGGAATACGTAATTGAGCGATAAAATACCGTTCATTTAGTCGAAACGTTGCAAGAGTTTCTAAAAGAAATTATTTAATTGCAGATATTTCGTAATTAGACATCTTCACAAACATAAATCGTCGTCAAAACGTCTTTAAATGGGTACTCTCGCTTTAAAATTAAGTTTTGCTAATGTTAAATAAACTGGCGAAATCTTTACAGCGTAACCGAAATTTTATAACAATGTATCTTAAAATTTTAATACGCAAATTTATTTATATATTTAATTAAAGTTAATTAATTTTAATGACAATGTCTGTTTTTTATTGGCTGATTATTTATTTATATACGTAAGCCTTTATTTTCCCAAAAATAATTACATAAAATCAAAATATTACAAAATTAATTTACAAAAAATTAACAAAAACAATCTTGCTTTAAGAAAACTTACCTAAAACTTGTACATAATTAGATTAGGTAATTTTTTTTAATTATGCACAATAAATCGAGTTAAATAACTTCATTATATTTTATCCCGTGGTTACTTTAAAGAGGCAACTATGGGAATTAACAGAAACATACAAAATAGATGGCTGTTTAAACATCTCGCATACGTAGCACGAGCAGTGTCTACTATACAACCTTACTTGTAATCGCCGATCCGTCTGCTCATCGTCACGATGAAAGTCAAAACTGAAGGCGGTAACTCCTACTCCTCGTGGGAAGTATATAAATAAAATGTAAAGTAAATAAAGTTACAATCTACATTACCTCCCACATCTAAACACGAGCCTTCTCTCATTTCGTTTAGGTCCCTTATTCTTTTAAGAAATGTATGGATTAATTAATCTGCCGCGCTACTCTGGTGCGTGTTATATAACTGGCACATTGTTTTAAAAGTGAGAGTGAAGAAGTAAAGAGTAAAGTAACGGCTTATATATGTTCAACAGCCTGGAACAAGAAAGAGTCTACCGCTGCACCAGTACGAATCGCACATAGCCACGCATGAATAAATATTTTCAAACTAGCTGATTTCCTTGCGATGTTTTTCTTTATTGATAAACACGTGGTAGGTCGGCGCTGTTTATTGTTATCAAGAATTTATAATACGGTACCAGCGAGGATGCACTTAAATAATTTTTTTTTCATTGATATCCAGCTATGTGATCACATATCTACGAACATAATAGGAGGAATGAAAAAATTTGATTAAACAAATGCATTAATAGATAGTATTTCGTGCCTTTAGTCCCAATTTTTCAATATTCTTATTACAGCCCTTCACGTTCCCAATGCCGAAAAAGATTACCAAAGTACGCCATAAATCACGGACCTGACCCAATTTACTGGCCTTTTACTGGCATTAAGACTAATTTTCTGCCTAGAAGTACGTCTGAGTATTGTGTATAGTACGGGTGGTACATGTTTCTGCTGCCAAATGAAAACAACCAATTAAATTTTAACAATAAATTTAATTATTATTTTTATACGTGGTAGAGCCACGCTACAGCTATATTATGGTTGTAGCACGAATGGGTCGGCTCGACCGGGGAAGGACCACGCTCTCACAGAATACCAACGTAAAACAGCAGCTTAATACTGCTGTGTTTCGTATGGTGAGTGTATAGATCCGGAGACACTTTTTTACTGGAAACGAGGCATTCCATCGTAGTCCTCAGGAGTGACAACGCATCTACGTTTTGATTCTTAATCGAGGATAAATGTAGATGTCTATGGGCCACAGCATCCACTTAGCATCAGGTGGACTGTGTGCTCGTTTGTTACCCTTATTCTATAAAAAAAACTAAACAGATCAGGACGTCGCATTGGTTTTTGAGAAATATTTTACTAAAATTCCTATAATGATTTCTTAAATTTTACCAGACCAGAGACCAGTAAAATTCCTATTTTAACCACGAAGTCACTGATCTCCTGCTTAATCGTTACTTAAACAAAATTTAAATGCGTGACTAAATAATTTTACGTTTCGTAAAGTATTATCAAAAGGTTAAAATATTTTAAAACTGATAACATTAAGAAAACCGAAGATCTGTGGGGTATTTCCGTTAAAGTTATTTCTTTTGTATAAGAGGGAGCAAACGAGCATGCGGCTCACTTGATGGTAAGTGTCGACCGCCATCCATGTACAACTTCAACACTAAGGGAATTCATGTGCATTTCCGGCCTTTTGAAAACGAGTGACCACGTTTCTTGAATGTTCCTTAGTCGTATCTGTCCAAAAAAAAAAGCCAATGTTAAATGATTCCACAAAGACATCGTGCGAAGAAGAAATCTCCTTATAAAACGCACCGTGGTGAATAAACATTCCGATATCGTGAATATTGTCGCGACGTGGGTGGCTCGGATTAATCAAAACAATTCCTCAAAGCACTCCCCGTGATAAATGCGATAGAAAATATAAAGGTATGAAACATCGAGCCATCTGGCACACTATACCCCCCATGAATAATTACACAAATAGACGGCCCCCAGTCCCCGGCGGCCCCGCTATTCCTGGCTACGGTGGCGACCACGGTAATGGCGGGGCAGGAGGTGCTAAGAATCTCCGGTGGAGGTTCGGTTGCAACCTACGACGACTCGACCTGGCAACATTTAACGCACGCACCCTGAGGACTGACGAGAAGATCCTGGAGCTGGAAGAAGAGATAGAAAAGTTGCGCTGGAATATTATAGGATTATCCGAGGTCCGAAGAGAGGGGGAGGACACGGTGATTCTCGAATCCGGCAACTTGTTCTATCACCGGGAGGGCGACCAACTGTCCCAAGTAGGTGTCGGATTTATCGTCCACAAGTCTCTCGTCAAGAACGTTGTAAAGATTGGGAGTGTGTTGACGAAGGTCGCGTACCTGATACTCAGAATCACCAAACGGTATTCGCTGAAGGTCATACAGGTTTACGCACCAACCTAGGCACATCCCGATGAGGAGGTGGAGGAAATGTATGAGGATATTTCCAAAGGCATGCATTACTCCAAAACCCACTACACGGTGTTGATGGGAGACTTCAACGCAAAACTAGGCACAAGAGAAAACGGTGAGCTGAAGTTAGGGAAATTTGGAGTAGGGCAACGGAACTGAAGAGGTCAGCAGCTGGCCGACTTTATGGAGAAAGAGGGACTCTTTATGATGAACTCTTTCTTCCAGAAGCGGCCCCACAGGAAGTGGACCTGGTCGAGCCCCGACGGTTCGACAAAAAATGAGATTGACTTCATTATGACGACCAGACGCCAACTGTTCAGTGATGTCTCAGTGATCGCAAGGGTGAAAACTGGCAGCGATCACCGAATGGTTAGAGGCACACTGAACCTAAACGTTAAGTTGGAGAGGTCTCGTCTAATGAAGTCAACGCTCCGTCCCCCTCGTGCTCTAATCCAGAATCCCGAAAACTTTCAGCTCGAGTTACGTAACCGCTTTCAGTGCCTACAAGATTGCAATGCAGTGGACGATATGAATGACAAGCTCGTGGAAACTGTCCATGCGGTCGGAGCTAAGTTCTGCAAGACCCGCCGCAGAAGAACACAAAAACTCTCCGATCACACTCTTAATCTCATGGCTGTTAGACGGGAGACGAGGCTGCAATCGTCAACAGATTTGACAGCATACAGGCAACTGAACAGACAGATCTCCAAATGCATGCCGCGAGACTTACGCAACTTTATTACTGCTCGTATTAAAGAAGCGATCGAGCGGAACCAGGGCTCCAAAGTCTTTGCCAGAGATCTGTCTGCCAGTAAGAGCCAACTGTCAAAGCTGAAGACTGAGTGTGGCAGCATCGTTTCCGGGACACCTGAGATTTTGAGTGAGATTGAGAGGTTCTATGGGCAGCTGTACACATCATCAAAGAGCAAGTCTTATCCGACACTATTCCGATGATATCCCGGACGTCAGTCTAAGCGAGATTAGAATGACTCTCCAGCACCTTAAAAACGGCAGGGCCCCAGGCGAGGATGGAATTACAGCGGAGCTTCTGAAAGCGGGTGGAACACCGGTACTTCAGAAGTCCTTCAGAAGCTCTTCAATTCCGTCCTCCATGGTGGCACTACTCCAGAGGCGTGGAGCAGAAGTGCGGTGATCTTGTTCTTTTAGAAAGGCGACAACGCTCTCTTGAAGAACTACAGACCAATTTTCTTTCTGAGCCGCGTCTACGTGCTGTTTTCGAGAGTTATTACGAATCGTCTCGCACGCAGACTCGACGAACAAGCCGGTTTCCGAAAAGGCTTCAGTACCATAGACCACATACATAACCTGCGTCAGATTGTACAGAAGACTGAAGAGTACAAACTTTGCCTGGTGTATGTGGACTATGAGAAAGCCTTTGATTCCCTCGAAATTTGGGCGGTGCTACAGTCCCTTCACCGGTGACAAGTTGACTGTTGGTATATCGAAATGCTGAAGTGTTTGTACAGTAGGGCTACGATGGCTATCCGAGTACAGAACTAGAGCTCGAAACCTATCCAACTGCAGAGAGGTGTAAGACAGGGTGACGTTATATCCCCGAAACTCTTCACCGCTGCATTGGAAGACGTTTTCAAGCTACTGGACTGGAAAGGATACGGTATTAACATCAATGGCGAGTACATCACTCACCTTCGATTTGCCGACGAAATAGTCCTTATGGCAGAATCGCTGGAGTACTTAAGCACTATGCTCAATGACCTCAATAGTGCCTCCCAACGGATAGGTCTTAAGATGAACATGGACAAAACAAAGATTATGTTTAATGTCCATGTCACACCTATGCCGGTAGTTGTTAGGAGCACTATGCTCGAAGTTGTTGACGAGTACGTTTACCTGGTACAAATAGTCCGACTAGGTAAGTCCAACTTTGACCGAGAGGTCAATCGATGGATTCAACTCGGCTGGGCAGCGTTCGGGAAATTACGACATATCTTCTCGTCAGGTATACCTCAATCTCTAAAAACTATATTGTACAACCAGTGCGTGTTGCCAGTGATGACTTACGGATCTGAGACGTGGTCCTTCACTGCTGGCCGTATGAGGACGCTCAAGGTCGCTCAGCGAG